TTACGGTATGTCCTGGATGACTGAGAATCTTCACCAGCATACCTATTAACCCCCCTCCTTCCTTCCTTCTTCCTAATCTTGGTAGCTACCATATCAGTAGTCCCTGCAGAGCTGAGCTTCAGCTCCTCATCTCATCTCCTCATCTTTCTCTCCAGCTGCTGTGGAGCCGGCGTGGCTGCGGATGCGGAGATGGCCACGCAGATCATGGCGTCCAATGTGGAGCTGCACATGCTCAACACCGGCCGCCCCCCCATGGTTGCCATGGTGACCAGACAGCTGAAGCAAATGCTGTTCAGGTGAGTTCCTCCTTGCAGAAACTGGAACCAGCGATGAAGTTTAAGAGTCAGAAGGGCAGGGGTATCATAGCGGATCTGCTCAGAGGAAAAATATTGTCCAACTGCAGATCCTAGTCGACTGGCGGGTTAGCTTCCTGTAATGTCCCTCGGCCTCCGGTGCTGGTGTCCCATACACAGCATCTCAGATATCATAAATCAAAGGGGCCTGATGACGGTTTGTTTATCTACATCATAGCATGAATATGAGCATCTGTTCATAATGGTTGGGCTGAACTCAGCGGGTCCTGATGCTGGCCACCTCAGTTTAGACGTCTGGATGGACCCGGTCCTGGAAGACCTCCTGGCAGCAGGCCAGTAATTATCTAAAAGACAAACAATCCAGGAGTAGAACTGGGACATGAGACACTGATACCAGTTGGATTAAATTAAGCGTAGCAGCGAGAAGCTCTTTGATGCTAACGCCAATGCTTTTACTTCATGGCATCTCTGAGCTCATCTGAGGGATGTGGTCAAAACGCCTTATTTCATTCCACAAAAATGTATTCATATCCTCTAAGCTTTCTCTTATTTTGCCACTTTAACATCGTAAACCTCAGTTTTTCTCTCTGAGATTTTAATAATTTGTTTATTGGAACATTTTAAAACGTAACTCTACTAATAGCCTGAGAGCTGTGCCAAACATTTTGTTTTATGCAATACCCTGAAAAAATCCCTCAGTAAAATGATTCTTCCCTGAGTTCTGCAGTCTCCATTGAAATGCAGCCATTCTGTTTCTGGTCTCTGAGAACAGAGAAGGAGCCCAGCAGATGGGTCCAGGAGAAGGTTCTGGTTCCATTTAAAGCCCAGTTAGCTTCTAAAACTGGAGAAAACTTTCGTTTTTGGTTCCATCTAAAAGACAAGACAAAACCCGGACCTACCAGGACCTGGATGCCCACCTAAAGTGAGACTCAGCTCAGCAGGCAGGTAGATTATCACCAGTACAGCACCAGTAAAACCAGTGCTTGGTTCATTTCTTTGGGGCACCTATAAAGACAGAGCCTATAGGCTCCTTAACGTGACCATTCCACAGAAGACAAAGACCTGTAATTTACACACTTTCACCCAAATGCATAAACAATGTCCACTTTTACATCACAGCTGTGACTTTAGGGGCTTAGAACCTTTCTCTGCTGAAACAAACTAAACTCCTCAAAAAGGAAGCTTCCTGCCTCACATTAAGCAGCAGATCAGCCAAAGCAGACACTTTTCATTCACACATTGGGCTTCATGCAACAACCGTTTGTCAGATTGAAGTGATTTAGAAGAAAATACCTCATTGTCCATTTCTCTCCACTCTCTAACCTTCTCTCAGGTAGGAACTAATTTTCCTCCAGACTGACGTAGGAGTTTAGTTCCATCAGTCAGCTGTTATCCAAACCCAGTTTATCAGTTGTAGTGGGGAAAAAGTATTCAACTATTCACCCCAGTTAAATAAACAAAGATTAATAGATTTCACTCATTCTGCACTTTTTTACATCTTTGCAAATAGAGATCAGTTCATCATACGGCCGTTATTGAACGGTAATCAGCCCTGTTCTGATCTGAGCAGCGTTCGTTCCTCCTTACTTACAACATTGGAAAGTAGTCAGAGTCAAAGCAAATTACAGACACTTTGGTTAAACAGTAACATGTTATAAATAAACCTTGAGAAAGAATCTAGCTTGTTATGGGAAAAATCTATGTCTACAAAGACCCTCACTCAGGCATCGTGTGGGCTTGCAGGTGAAACTGACTGAGTGAAACAGTGTTTTCAATGAGTAAGTAGCATAAATCAACCTACGTGAAATAAGAGAAATCTAAATTTTTTCCAACCACCCACTAAATGACCTTAGAAGCAATCATCCATTTTATCAGGCTGCATCATTCTATATTCTTCAGCTCTGCCATTTTAAATGCCATTTTATTGTCTGAATACAGAAGTATGGGTCCCTCCACCTGTAGCTGGTATGTGGGGATCCAGGGGACTCTGGTTTAATGGGTCTTCATTTGGTCCAAAGAAAGAACAGTCAGTGTCTCTATGTGAGATCTACCTACTACGGAAATAAGATGTGGAACAGAAAATGAACGGTTGTTCAGCAAAGCTCCTCTAACGGTCAGACTTACCTTCATTTCCCTCCATGGAAGCTCCTTGGCTTTGTTCTCACACTAAATGTTTGGTTTTACCGTTAACATTTGGATGCTTAAATAGATCTTGAAATGTATTCCCCACTGCTTGGCCTTTTCTGGTCCGTTAATTCTAAACCAAAGGAATGAAGAGTATCCAGCTGCACAGGAGGTGTATATACGGTAGAAAGAACAATAAAATATAATGGAATCTAAGTGAATTATGGACTTCCTGATGTCATGATTTTATCTAAAGCTCTGACCCACATGCAGAATACCAAACAGAGAGGCCAGGGAAAAGTTTAACAGGTTTTTATTTAGAGTGAATGAGATGAGTCCAGTGCTGCTCTGAACACTGTTGAACCGGAACTGGAAAGTGAAGGGGAAGATACTGCGGTTAGTTCAGGCTTAGTGGGAAATTAGTGTCTTTGACTTGAAGAAGAGGAACTAGGTTGCAGACTCACATTTCCAGAAAAAGGTGTCTCTTATTGAATCCAGTCGGTGTGGGTTGTTCCAGTGAATGACTTGTTCATAGGAGGGCGGACAAGGGTTACCCAGATTGCGGTTATTCTTGGTGAACGGAGAAGCTGACTGCCACTTGAACGGGTTATAGTGGAGATGAATCCCCTGCTCAGAGAGAAGCCCAAAACAATCCTTGAGGGGAAAAGTTGATCCAAACCACAAACTTGAATCCTCAGCTCAGTTTGGTGCTCAGAGAATCCTTCCAGGGGGGAGAAG